TAAAAATTAAAGCGTCTTCTCACCTGGGCCCTGGCATCTGGAGGTTGCATGCAGCAGTGTTGGGCAGGCCCGACATTCGGAAAGTGGTGGAAGCTGCTCTTGCAAAGACGGCTGAGGAAGGGGAAGGGAATTTCGAGCTTCTCCTGGGGAGACTCAACGCAAGGTTACGCGCGTACATGAAGGAGGAGAACAAAAGGGTGAAGAAAACAACTGCTCATCTGGCAGAAGTAGTGGCGGAGCTCCACCAGGAGCAGATGCGTAACCCGTGTTGCCAGAAGACGAGAGACCTGCTTCATGTCAGAGACGCGCAACTGAAAGAGTATCATGCGTCAAAAAGGGACAGGCTACACGTGATGACGGGTACAGACGCGGAGTTAGCTGGGGAGGTCCCTTCAACTTTCCTTTCGGCAAGAGTCAAGGTCAGGAAGCAGAAAACACAAATTGCGGAGCTGGAGGTGGGCGGCGCCAAGGTATCTGGCTCACCCGGGATCCTGAAGGCCACGACGCAGTATTTTACAGACCTGTTTGGTACCGACGGTCGGACGGCGGTGGAGATGTGGAAACCACTTGCTGGGAGGAAGCTGGATGCAGAGACCGCGGCTGGGCTTGCGGCAGACTGGACGGAGGCAGAGGTGAAGCAGGCTTTCAAAGCGCTTGCGGACGGCAAATCCCCTGGGAAGGATGGACTCCCGAAAGAGCTCTTTGAAAGGCATTGGGACGTCCTTGGCAAAGATTTTCTCCGCATGGCGCAGTCCTTCGTTGTTTCAGCGTCTATCCCTGCAAGCATCAAGGAAGCGGTTACTATTCTACTTCACAAAAAGGGCGAGAAGGATAAACTGGACAACTACCGTCCAATCACATTACTGAACTTCACGTACAAAGTGTTGGCGCGGGTGGTGGCGAACCGGATGAAGCTGCATCTGCACAAGGTGATCTCAGCGGAGCAGTACGGATTTATCCCCAGCAGGAGAATCTCAGATGCCATCGGTGTGGTTGCTGACGTTATCGAGGCGGCGAAAAGGGGGAATGAAGACTGGTACATGTTGCTGGTGGACTTTCGCAAAGCCTTTGACTCGGTGTCTAGAAGCTTCCTTTTCAGTGTCCTCAAGGAAATGGGCTTCCCGGAGAGATTCGTCGGCTGGGTGGAAGGCCTGCACAAAGACACCAGAACGAGGCTGCTAATTAACGGCTGGCTGGGGGATGCGGTGGATGTAAAATCCGGGGTGAGGCAGGGTTGTCCCCTCGCTCCTTACCTGTTCCTCTGCGCGGTGGAGCCACTGGCTCAGGAAGCAGAGCGTTGGAAGATTGGTCTCTGCAATAAGGCAAACCAAAGGTTAGCATATGTCGGATACGCAGGCGACACGACGCTCTTTCTGGAAGGGAAAAGACAAATCGTCAGGGCTGAGAAGCTGTTAGCTTGGTTCGCCGAGCTGTCGGGGCTGCAGACAAACAAGAGCAAGTCGGTGATCCTCCCGATCGGCCAAAACATTGGGAGAAGGCCGGGCACGCTGGGAGGCTTCAAATGGGCTAAGGCGGATGAGGCGGAGAGAGTCCTGGGTGTTTGGGTCACCCCCTCCGGAAGCAGTGAGCCAACCTGGAAGCGGGCTTTCGAAAAAAACAACCGTGGAACTGATTAAGTGGAAGGCGCTATTCCTCACGATCGCGGCGAGGGTCGTGATTATCAACTGCTACATCACGCCGAGGATAGCCTACCAGGCACAGGTGTATCCCCCGACAGAGGAGATTTGGAAGAAGCTCATGAAGCTGGTTCACAACTTTCTAACGGGCAACAATGCATCTGCAGAGAAAGGCTTTGTGCTATGGAATTGGGGGCTGCTTACCACACCGAAAGCTGACGGAGGTCTCGGAGTTTTAGACCCGGAGATTTTACTCGCCTGCCTTGCGGCGAGGAGAATTGGCTGTTTGTTGCTGGAGGAGAACGGGAAAAAGAAAGAGATTATGCTCAAGGCGGCCGGACTACCGCTCGGGGAAGACACGTTTCTGGCTCATGAACGGCTGTTGAAGCACTGGCCAGGGGATAACGAGCGTTGGTTGCGGACGTGCGAGGCCTTCATGAAATCCCCGATTGCAGATACCGGGAAGTCCTGTAGCAGAGAGGAGGTGGCGCAGGAGAGGGTGGTTTTCAACCGGAAGCTGCTGTTGAACGGCATGAACCCGGTGGGGGGGCAGAAGGTGGCTAAGGATCTATGGGAGACGAGGCTGGGTGACCTGGTAACCGCGCAGCAGGATGGTGCGGTGGAGATTAAGGACATCGACACGCTAGAGCGGGAGCTGCGTAGCAGAGACTTAGCCCGGCTGGCTCTCAAAGCACTTGAGGCAGTGCCGCAGGAATGGAAAGCTGTGCTTACCCCGGATGCCAGAGGAGAGGGCGCAGATTCTGGGGGGCAAAACTCGGCAAGCATTAGCGGTGGAAGGGAACATGCAGCGGCAACAATTTTCCGTTCGGCGATTTTCACGAATGGGCAGTTGTCATCCCTGAAGCAGTTGAGGGAATCGTGGGCCAAGCCAGATGCGGTCCTTACGAAGCAGCAGAAGTGGACCGGCAAGTGGAACGGCAAGATAGACTGGGAGCGAGTCATCTGCACCAGAAACTCGCTTGTCATCCCGAACCGACCGCGTGATGTTCTCACGCGCATACACAACCACAACCTTCAGGTTGGGGAGAGGGTGGATTTTCTCAGCAGCAAGCCAAACTGCCCGTACTGTGGAGAGATTGAGACACAGGACCACTGCCTTTTCAGCTGCCCGATGATTCAGCCTGTGGTTTCTGGGCTCCGGCGCGCTTTGCACATGCTCAACCCCACAAGGACACCTGCCTCGCTCGGTGATCTACTGTTCCAGGAAACTGGAACCACGTCAGATTTTCCTGAGGCCACACTAACGGCCATCACTTTCCACCAGCTGTGGGTGGAACGTTGCGACGCGAGTTTCCGTAGGCAGAAGTTCAGAGCTCGGCGGGTACTCAGGAAAATCGGGACGGCTTTTCGACTGCATGCAAGGGTGTATACGAGGGTGACTGGGGCGAAATGCGCGAAGCCTGGCAAGCTGGGGAAGCTCAAGAGGGTCAGGGGGGCTTTTGAAGCAGAAAAAAAATGCTGATGAAGGTCAGGGAGGTTGGCGACAAGAAGTGGGGTTGGTCGGCCAGTTTCGCGGCTATTTGGAACAGGCCAAAGAGGGCTTTCCTACCGCCCTAGTTGTCTCACTGGGCAGCGCAAGGTGTCTGCCCTCACGCCCAGTTACGACTGCTATTGCTGTATGCATTGTCCCCTTTAATGTATTCTTCAATTACATTAAAAAAAAAAAAACACACACACACACACAGTAGTAGTAGTTGTAGCAGTAGTAGCAGTAGTAGCAGTAGTAGCAGTAGCAGTAGCAGTAGTAGCAGTAGTAACAGTAGTAGCAGTAGCAGTAGTAGCAGTAGTAGCAGTAGTAGCAGTAGTAGCAGTAGTAGCAGTAGAGCAGTAGTAGTAATAGTAGTAGTAGTAGTAGTAGTAGTAGTAGTAGTAGTAGTAGTAGTAGTAGTAGTAGTAGTAGTAGTAGTAGTAGTAGTAGTAGCAGCAGCAATAGTAGTAGTAGTAGTAGCAACAGCAGCAGTAGTAGTAGTAGTAGTAGTAGTAGTAGTAGTAGTAGTAGTAGTAGTAGTAGTAGTAGTAGTAGTAGTAGTAGTAGTAGTAGTAGTAGTAGTAGTAGTAGTAGTAGTAGTAGTAGTAGTTGTTGTTGTTGTTGTTGTTGTTGTTGTTGTTGTTGTTGTTGTCGTCGTCGTTGTTGTTGATGTGGTGCGGTAGGCTGCAAAGCGGTTGGTGGCAATGTTTAATAAATTGAACTTGCCCGACATCGATAGCTTTTGCGCTTGCACTCTTGCCGGATACTCACGGATACCCATTTTCTTACTAAACGCAGCTTGCAATAGATGGATCAGGCGGCATTTTACGCATTGATGCAACAAGTGGCAGAAATGCAGGCAATCATGAAAGTGCTGATGACAAGTGGAGAGGCTACGTGAAAAAAACACCTAGCTACGTCAGGTGCGAAGTGAAGTGCGACAAAAGTCGCCAAATGGCAAAGGCGAGGGCAACAGGCAAGTGGTGAGCAATCCGTTGGACGTGCTCATACGAGGCTTCGAAGAAGATGATAGGTAGCGAGTGGCGGTGACATAAAATGCAGTAATTACGATCAAGATTTAACCTGCGTGTCAAAATAGTATGTAGTCTTAGGAGCCATAGCTAGGAGAGTCCTAGCTAGGCAAGAGACAGTTTAGGCAAAAGAAGAGGGTTTTCACTAGCAGCAATGAGGATACATATAGCAAACCCTAGATGGGTTGTACTCGCTACAGAGCACCCCACTACAGGCTAGAGAATAACATTCTGACACACCCCCATAGCCAAAGTGGGGTGTAATCAGCAGAGCAAACAAAGCAGTACAAGCTCAGGGTGGATCACAATGTCACCACACATTCTGAGCACAAGTTCAAGAAGCAATAGTTTAAAGTTCACAATTATGAGCAAAGCTAGTGGTAGTCACAACGGGCAAGTGAGGAGGAGGAAAGAGACTATGAGAGGAGAGGAGGTAGTGGGCGGCAGCTGAAGCTGCTGGCACACGGCGCAACTGGAGCAACTGGCACACGGGCAACTGGAGCAACTGGCACACTGGCAACTGGAGCAACTGGCACACGGGCTACTGGAGTAACTGGCTCCGCGGCTAAAAGTAGCGGCAGACGAGCAACGGACTCACGGGCGACTGGAGCAACGGGCTCACGGGCGACTGGCGCAACGGGCTCACGGGCGACTGGCGCAACGGTCTCACGGGCGACTGGAGCTGCTGGCTTGACGGCGGCCACCCCCTTCAACCTCCCCAAACTATCCCACTCCCCCTAACACACACCCGCTGCTACACCGCTAGCTCCACTCCCCTTTCACCCCCCCCTTAGTACCACTCCGTCGGCTCCAACAGGTCCACCCCCCCTCAGCGGCAGCTGCAGCACAGGGAGACGGAGGAGGAGGAGGAGCAGGGAACGGCACTCAGAAGCTGCACCCCCATACCCCCCACCCCCAAACCCTAATCCAGGAGAACGGGCAGAAGGAGGGGTGGGGCGCCTTCAGAAGCATGGGGGACAGTGGGGAGGACAGGGGCAGCGAAGAACGGGCCGCCCACGGGCCTGGCACAGCCTCCCGAACCGCGCGCAGGCGGTCCGAGCCGCGCGCGGGCCTGGCGCAGCCCGTACGAGCCGCGCGCGGGCCTGGCGCAGCCCGTACGGGCCGCGCGCGGGCCTGGCGCAGCCCGTACGGGCCGCGCGCAGGCCTGGCGCAGCCCGTACGGGCCGCGCGCCGGCTGTACGGGCCGCGCGCAGGCCACGACGGGCGACGGGGGGCGACGCGCGGGTCCCCGTCGCCCGTCGCAGCGCCTCCCGGGGGCGACGCGCCGAGTGACGGGGCAGAAACCCGCCGCGCGCCTCGGGGCACACGGCGGGCAGAGAACCGCCGCACGCCTCGGGGCGCACGGCGGGCTGAAAACCCTAATTTCGACGCCGCGCACCACGGGGCGCGCGGCGGACAGGGAGTAGCAGTAGCAGCGGAAGCAGTGAAGTGGGCCCACAGGCCAGGAACGTTAAGCTCTGATACCATGTCAAAATAGTATGTAGTGTTAGGAGCCATAGCTAGGAGAGTCCTAGCTAGGCAAGAGACAGTTTAGGCAAAAGAAGAGGGTTTTCACTAGCAGCAATGAGGATACATATAGCAAACCCTAGATGGGTTGTACTCGCTTTCAACAGAACTAGGCAAGAATGATTGAAAGGAGAGGGGTTTCACTAGCAGCAGTTGGGGTACATATAGCAAACCCTAACTGGGTTGTACTCGCTATAGAGCACCCCACTACAGGCTAGACAATAATAACATTCTGACACACCCCCATAGCCAAAGTGGGGTGTAATCAGTACAATGAGCAGGCATAGCAATAGTTCACAATTATAAGCAAAGCTAGAGGTGATCATAGAGGGCAAGTGAGGAGGAGGAGAAACTGTGAGGGCGAGAAGATGAAAGGCGCCGACTGAAGCTGCAGACACACGGGCAACAGGAGCGGCGCGCACAGTGGCTACCGAGCGCACGAGGGCACCGGACTACGGGAGTATCTGGCTCCGCGGCTACGACGAGCACACACAAGAGCAACGGACCCACAGGCGACTGGCGAAGCAGGCTCGCTGGGCTACCGAAACGCGCGAGGGCATCCGGACTACTGGCGCTGCTGGCGTCACGACGGCTACCTCCACGCAACCTCCCCCGACCGTCCCACGCCCCTCTCACACACCCCCTGCTGACACCCTAGCTCCACTTCCACGGCACCCCCCTTAAACCCTAAACCCTCGGCTCCCACACACCCACCCCCCTCAGCGGCAGCTGCAGCAGTGGGAGACGGAGGAGGAGGAGGAGCCGCAGGTTACCCACACCGGTCACCCCCATGCCCGCCACCCCCAAACCCTAACGCAGGCAGGAGCGCGGGAAACAGCAGGGGCGGGGCACGGAGGGAAAGGGAGGCAGCGGGGTGGCTCTTGGGCGCCACGAAGAAGCAGGGCGCGGGCCCCCCGAGGGCGCCACGGCGGGTGACGGGAGGGGGGCCGCGCACGGGCCCCCGAGGGCGGCTCGACGGGCGACGGGAGGGGCCGCGCGCGGGCCCCCTAGGCGCCGCGACGAGGCGACGGGAGGGGGCGGCGCGCGGGCCCCCAAGGCGCCGCGACGAGGCGACGGGAGGAGGACGACGGGGGGCAGCGCGCAGGTCCCCGGGGGCGCCACGACGGGCAGGAAACCGCCGCGCGCCTCGGGGCGCACGGCGGGCAGAAAACCGCCGTACGCCCTGAGCGCACGGCAGGAAGAAGACGGCGCGCGCCCGAGGCGTGCGAGAAGCAGAATAGCAGCGGAAGCAGTTAGGTGGCGGGCCCACCCACAGGATCCACCCAAAGGGGTCGACCTGCTCTGATACCATTTCAACAGAACTAGGCAAGAATGATTGAAAGGAGAGGGGTTTCACTAGCAGCAGTTGGGGTACATATAGCAAACCCTAACTGGGTTGTACTCGCTATAGAGCACCCCACTACAGGCTAGACAATAATAACATGTTGACACTCGCTACAGAGCACCCCACTACAGGCTAGAGAATAACATTCTGACACTGCGAGCCTGCCCCCATTCAACCCTAAGGGTATGAAAACTACAGTTAAGGGGTGACTGGGGGTGTGAAAGTTTCCTCCACTGCAATGAATGTCAACTACAATGCCACGTGTATTAGTTATGCGATATCTTTTCGGCAAGGCATAGTAAAGGATTGGTGGCGCCGAACCTTGAACACGCGGACCCCGACGGGTCTGACACATGCGACAGACGGGACTTTTGACTTTGCTAATGGACATGCACTATTGATATTTGGTGTCACAACAGCTTACATCTGGAAGGAATGGGCCGCGGTCTTACATGAGCGTTTTGAGCATGT